AGCATCTAATGTTAGCACAACTCGCTCAAAAACAAGGAAACATTATCCATATATTGTAAAACAGTAAGAAATAAAAAGCAAAGATAAAAGATATGATGTGAAAAAATAAATACAACTATAGACAGTTTTACTTCCCAGTTTTGTTTTGATTTCCAATTTGTTACAATGAAAAGTGAAATATCCATGAATGTCTTATTAAAAACACCACGGCACTACATCAGGTTGTACTTATAACCTACACTTTAAATACAGCTTCCCCAAATTGTGGACAATTTTACAGTATGCAGAAACTTAACCTCAATGACTGGAAAAGAAAAAACTAATAATATTAAATGAAATAACCTATGCATAACTTTGCAAACTTTAAAAACATATAAACCTACATCACATGATATATTTATTCCTGCTCAGACAGTTTTTAATGACTTTAGTGATATTCTAATACTATACCTTAAGGTAGGTGGGTGTTCTTATCAGCTACACAAAGCTTTTCAATTATAACATTTTAGACAACTATAAAAATTAGACTATAAATAAAAATTATAACTAATTAAAATATGCCCTTAGCATAAGTAAAGCTAAAGATGCTCAATAGGAGGTAAATCCAAAATTATGATCCTCAGAGCTGATTGTGCCATGCTTGTGTTCAAAGTTAACCTGGTGTAACCCTTTAGTTTTAATACAGTAGATATATGTTTACTCATTCCATGTTCTTGTTTTGAGTCGATAAACGGAAAACTAAAAATAATAATGTTTTCTTTTAATTTTTGGTTTCAAAGAAAAAGACAAACTATATACATGGACTCTTTGTTAGGAGGATTATTTATGAATACACCAAGACCAAGTGGTTGTTCTGCATTACCAGGATGGATAAAAAAAAAAATGGAATATTTAACTCTTTATTAGAGCATTATGACATGCTAAAAGTGTAATCAAACTGAAAGTTCTGATGGCTGCTCTAGGGAGAAAATTTAACAAGTTAGTACTTTTTGTTCGGTAGAAAGTCAGATTTTAGTATCAGAGTAGTGAAATTCCTTTAAGTCACTAGTAATAAAAATGAGTACAAACCTAAGTGAAGGTGCTATGATGCATATCAACATCAAACAGTAAGAATGCAGAATATTGTCTCCTCAAAAAAAGGATAATCGCAAACCCTATTGTTTTGAATGTCTCTGTTCAAACATGTTATGATTTTTTATCAATTTGCAAGATGTCACAGATAATTCCACCACTGTCACACTACTAATTTTCAGCTGTGATTCTGGAACATTGTTCTATTTTTTGATAATATTTCCACTTGTTTTGACTTTGTTCTTGTATAGTATTTTTCTATTTTTTTTGACTGCACGCCTTTTTGTTCTGAAGGTACCAAAGCTTTTTTGTTTTTTATATCAAGTTCTGTGATTGTGGAAATAACATTTTTAAACTTCTGGTACATAGTCATCACTACAGAGAAAAGCGGATTAAAATCTATTATGTACTAAATGCAAAGGTTTTTAGAGTGAAATTGCATATAGGCTTTTAAGTACCACCAACTGAAAAAATAGAGCTACAAAAACAACAAATTCCAGGGGAATTCCAGGGTTTCATAATAACATAAATAGTACAGCATATTTTAAGAAGATCTTGTAGTTTCAATTAACATTGTTTGACAGTCTCAAAGGTGTCTTAACAATATGAATTCTAGTTTTACTGGTGATTCAACAATTGAGACTTGTACCATATTAGAGATTTATTTTTTGGGGGGAAAAAGCTGTTTACTTCTAATCTCCTAAGAGTAGTGATGAATATATACCAGTACTACTTAGATATTTTTCTCTGTATTGTCTCATAAGACCTCTTCTTTGAAACATTCTGGAGTGTATAATCTAAACTTAATTTATATCACCTCTGTTGAGAGTAATATAAATACAGCCTCTTGGGAAAGTGCTTATCGGACTTAATAAATAAACATCTGGTACATAAAAAAACAAAACAAAACTTAAAGGCCACCACGACGTATGACATATTTATGCAAGGGAATAACAATCAAAATTATAAAAAAAAAATATATTGTGTGTAATTTATTTTGTGCCTTGTACAACTGAGCTTACAGTATGTCAATTCCAGCTTCACACACAGAGGAGGAAACCTGTTTACCCATTATCTGTGATATAGCTTAAGTTCATTCGGCTGGGATCCTGCATTACTACTTTGGTGTTAAATTTAACGTTCTGCTGCTCAGTTTTGGGCACAGGACAGCACAATGTGATGGTGTTTTCTCTATGACATAAGGGTGGAACAAGCATTTAAAAAAAAGCTTAAAACACAATTGCACCACAAAGCGTTTTGCCATTATCTTTCACTGTATGGGGAATTATCAAAATGCAGCTACATGAATGCCTGCTTGCTGTGAGATGATGCTGCAGACATGCATTCTGTACAGAAGCTGGCAGCTGTGGGCAGTGTGGGTATGCACTATATGCAGCCCATGACACCACACTGCAGGAGGTAAGTTATGCGAGTGTTAAGAGGGGGCTTCTAATTACCTGGGTTCCCTAATGCAACCGCTAGTGCAGGATTCCTTGATTTTGGTCCTAATTAAGCCATTTGATTTAGGTGTGGAAGCAAAAACACATCTAAAAGGTGCAGGACACCAGACCTTAAAGGGATAGTTCGGGATTTTTGACATGAATCTGTATGGCATCCCCATCACCAGTGTCATGTAATCACACTGACTTACCCCTGGCAGCATCCTGTGAGCAGAGTTCTCGTCCAGCTTTGGTCAAGCCGAAAGTAGTCCGGCAGGTTTGCTAGGCCCAGCGAAATAAAA